TACTCTACCCAGCATGATGTCCCTCTCTAAAGACCTGTCTCTCCTTACAACATGTCCAAAGTATGTCAGACGAAGCCCCAGAATCCTTTCCTCCAAGAGCAGCCTGGTTTAACCCTCTCTAGGATGAATCTGTTTGTTTTCTTGGCAGTCCATGGTACATTCAATACTCTTCTCCAGCAACAGCTCAAAGGCACCAATTCTCCTTCTATCCTCCCTAGTCAATCAATATGACTCCCAGAGTTCCATTCTTCAGATAGTGTCTCTCTGGCACATAAGATAATCACCAACATTCTTTACACCATCATTATATACCACCCTCTTTCCTTTCTAACCTTCACTTTAATCTTAATTCCACAAATAAAAATATATTTTCACCAGCAGCCCACATGTTGATGGTCCTTTTTGTTGTTGTGTGCCATCAAGTTGGAACCAACCCCTAGCTGACCCTCTAGTGGATTTTCAGAGGCTGTAAACCACCTGGGAGGAGATTGCCTATCTTTCTCCCATGAAGCAGATGGTGGATTCAAATAGCGAATAGCTTGCCTTTGGGATCGCAGTGCAGACCCAAAACAACTAGATTACCAGAGCTCTCCTAATCATTCTTTATCAGGTTCTTCAGAAAGGCTTATGGTAATAAAATCTCCAAATTCTTATACACTGCTAACTGTGTCTTTTGACTTTTTTTTTTCAAGTGTATATATATATAGAGAGAGAGAGAGAGAGAGAAAAGATAGATAGATAGACAGATAGATAGATAGATAGAGATAGAGATAGAGATAGAGATACAGCATAGTGTTCCATTGTGTGAATATACCACAGCTTCTCTACCCACTTTGTTGATGGGCACTTGGGTTGTTTCCAACTCCTTGCTATTGTGAACAAAGCCACGATGAACACGGCTGTGCATATGTCTGCTTGGGTGTCAGTTATGGTCTCTTTAGGGTATATTCCCAATAGTGGAATTTCTGGGTCAAATGGTATGTCTATTTGCAACTTTTTGAGAAAGTGCTGTACAGCCTTTCATAATGGTTGCACCATTTTACACTCCCACCAAAAGTGAATAAGGTTTCCGTTTCTCCTCAATCTAGCCAGCATTTGTTGTTTGCTGCTCTTAAATTTTTCTTTTTTTTTCTATAATTATATTTTATTAATTTTCATAAACATTTACAGAGATTTTGGGTTTCCATTCATTCATTGTTGCACTATTCTCTCTACCCTCC